TTAACACCCAGAGGGTAAAGGAATGCATGCAGTCACAGCCCCAGTGGAACTGGATGACACTTGGAGCCAAGCTACCACTGTGCAGTTCATTTGTGTGTGTGTGTGCTTATACGTGCACGTATACATATATATTCATATATTTTCATTCTTTTCATGTAAGCTGGAAGAAAGCAGGAATTGTTTTCCTGTTTTGTTACTGGTGAATTCCCAGTGCTTACAATAATATCTGGCACACAGTAGCTGCTCAATAAACAAGGGTTGAATGAATGAATAAATCCAAAGAATTACTTCTTTGCAAATCATTCTAGGAAATATGTGGATCAAAATGTCACAATTAAATAGACAGAATAGTTATGTTGGAAAGGTTAGGGGATATGGCTTAACTAGGGATTAGAAAAGTTCAAAGCAACATGAGCCACAGTGTTCCATGTCATAACTCATGCTGACGGAATATGAGAAATTATACCACCTTTCTGCCTCAGTAATATAGGTTTCTCACCAATGCTTCTCAAAGTATTCGTGGTTTGCACCAGTTTGTCTGTTTTTTTTTTAATTTCAAATCCATCACGAACCAATACTTTTGTAAACTATAATAAAAATGAATTCTTAAACAAATGAAATGAAAAACAAAACAGACACACGAATATGCAAGCCCAAATTTGTATTAGATTCAACAGACCTAAAATTACTCCGTCCAATTGCTATAAAGGTTTCTGAACACTCTCAATTTCTGTTCTTATCTCATTGCGGACCAGCCACACGCAGTTCACGAACCAGTCTAATCCATGGCTCATACTTTGAGGAGCATGGCTCTTAGATCGGACACACACACACACACACACACACACACACACGCACACACACGCACACACACGCCAGTGATTCCAATATCCAATCCCGACGCCAATGCTTCTGCTTTCCAGTAGACGAGGAGAAAAAGAACGTTCTGCTTCCTATTACGCTTCTGTCAGACACTTACTTCAACCATCAAGGAATAAAATTAGCAAGCCCATGATGCCCATAATATCAGACTCCAAAAAGATGTTAATATATTGATTATGCCAAACTTCAAATCATCCCACGATTTAAGCACAAAAGTTAGGATCAGATTGTTCATTTTATAATGGATCCTACATTTAGTAGAATAATTATAAGATGCATTTTATGTATGTAAATACAACGGTGATTTTATATTAATCCATTTATAATACGTAATCTTTATATATTTATCTCCTATATTTATATATTTGTGCAGCTTATAGAAATATATCATGTAAACTATTATGATGAAGTCTTAAAAAATGCTACTAAAATGATGTACACTTGGGCCACAAGGGTTTTCCTTTGCCTCTTCTAGGTTAGTTAACATTATCTACTTGAAAATTATCCTATACAACCTAAATAGAATTAGATGAAATATAATTTATAAACAAAACCGACATATGACTCTTCTAAGTAGAAGAAAACAGATTTTTTCTTCTTTTTCATTAAAATAGGTCCAGATTAATGAGGCATGCTAGCTAATCTTAAATTATCCTTCATCTTAAAATACAACCTTTGAAACTACATAAACATAATCCTGAAATCTCTAGTCATTCACAAGGCTTCCTTAAGTTGGGATGAGTTAATGATTTTCCTCGAAGTCCAACTAAACATGCATTCCAGAGAAAAGCATGCTTGAGGCTGAACATGGAGTCAATACTGACTGATTTACTTATTAGCTGGCACCCAGGCAAGTAATCCTAGCTTTAGGCCAATTATAAATAAAGGCAGGGACATTCTTGATGATGTTTATAACATGAATTTTCTAGAGGCAGGACTCAAGATTGTTGCCTTCAAGCTTCACAGAGCTTCTATCACATCATCTGGCAGAAGGAGTAAATATTTACTGAATCACAGAATGAAACCGTTGATCCCTCATTTCTTACAGGCTGCTGAGGTCACTGATGCTCATGCATACCTTTGTGAGAAACAGGAAGTCATCAGCATACCTGGGTCACTGACTTGTAGCCTGGGTCTCCTGTATATCTTGTGCATTGCCTGTTTGTTGGTTCAGCAGTAAACTGATGTGAAAGTTAAAAGAAGAAAAAAAAAAAAAAGGAATGAAGCTGTTGAATAAAACTAACAATGAAAAACAAATTCGGAATTATAACCCCTCAGATCGAGATTGCTACTAACTCAATGAAAATATTTAAAACATTACTATGTTGCCCCTCCTTGCCAAATTCCTTCTCACTGACTGCTCCCTCTGGGAGGTTTATATTCCCCTCACACTGACACCAGGCTTGCCCACTGATGTGTTGTGGCCAATGAATGTGTGTGCAAGTGACATGTGCCACTTCCCAGGAGAAGTTCTAAGAGCCAGTGTGTGGTTCCACCATTTTCCTTTTCCTCCTGTTCAAGATAAATATGTCCCAAATAGGTGCTGCTCTTTAAGTCTTAGTTTCAGAAACAAAGAAACATGCAGCAGGGCCACTGCCAATCTGAGATTTTTGTAAGTCACTAAAATTTTGGAGTCCTTTGTTGATGCAGCAAAACTCCGCTGACTGATACATTGGCCTTCTCTCATGATGTATCCATGTCTTTGGGAAAAAAGCCCATACAACAGTGTTTGTTGAAGACTTAATGGTAAAGCTGAGTTTTCTCAAGTTTTTACTATAGGAATCAACTGGCCGCGGCAGTCCTGCAGAAAGACTACCCTGTCAACCCCAGGTAGCATGGATTATACCAGTGAGCGGATGAAGAGGAGAAATATTAGCATTCAGAAGCTGGTATGAGGTGAAAAGGACGTGAACTCAAACAGTGACAATAAGGAAAGACACCAGCAAAATTATAAAACGTGAGCTATCTGCTTAATTGTCCAGTTCTATCCATAGACCATGAGTTCCAATAAGCAGAGTCCACGTTTAGTTCAATATTTCCAAAAGTGAGATATGCATATCAGTGGTAGTATGTGAAATGTTTTTGATAGTAAATAGAAAACTCTTTAAAAATACTGCTACAAACTCCTTATTTCAAGGATTTTGCATCTTTGGGCAAAGCAAAGTAAAACAAAGTGAGCTGATTAAGGCAAAATAAGAAAAAACAATAAGCAAACAGTATTACAACGGTGAGCCTATATGGTAAAAACCGAGAAGATAATGAATGAAGTCTGGTAAAAACTCTCTTCTTTAACCCCTGCTCCTATCCCTGGATTATAACAGGCGGGTAATAAGCATGGCATGGGGAGAGGGAAGATAAAGAAGATTCAAACAAAGCGCGGGCAAGCTCTGAAAAAAACGAAAACACTGTGTACAAGCAACAGAATGCAAACAGTAAATTATGAGGATGCTCTGCTATAATTCATAAAAGTTTAATTTAAAAAATAATAGCAACTTCCATTCTCTGAGTACTTATTATGTGTCAAGCACTGTGCAGAGCACCCATCATTTCATTTCATTTCTTTCCAAAGTGCTGGAATTAGTATGCCCATTACAAATGAGGAGACAGGCTCAAAGATATAAAACACTTGACCAAGATCACACACAGTTAATGTGTTTGTCTATCCAATTCCAAACTTGTGCCCTTAACCTCACACTTTGCTCTCTTCTAATGCCCAAACATTTAAAAAATAACAATAACAATAACAAATGGTTCATAGCTGCAGTATTCGTAAATGCCCCAAACTAGAAAACTCCCTAAATGCCCATCAACAGTAGAATGGATAAATAAATCCCATTAGAGTCATGCAATGAAATATTATATAGCAATGAAAATGAATGAACTACAACTACCCACAGCAGCATGGATGAATTTCTCAAACATAACCATGATCAACAGGCAGCAGGCACAGGCAAGTACCTACTGTTTGACTGATTCCATTTCTGTAAAGCATAAAACAGGCAAAATTAATCTAGGCTTTTATGAGTCAGGGTGGTGGCTACCTTTGGGAGGGATAACAACTAAAGAGCACAGGAAGGGAGCATCTAGGGTACAGATTACATTGGATTAACTGACCTGAGTACTGGTAAACAGGAGTCCAATTTATTAAAAAATTGATCATGCTATACACTTATAATAGTGTACTTTTCTCTACATATATTACCCTTCAATAAAATACATTTTAAATTAAAAAATGATACAGGTGATCAAGGCATTTTCTGCTCCATCCTTTTAATGTATTTAGACTCAAATACTCTTTAATAAAGCACATACTATATTTTCCCAAGCTTTATAAATCCCAAGCAGTACAAGCGTAAGAAGAAGAATCATTAGAGATTTAAAAGTTAATAGATTGGAGTCAGGGAAAAACAATCCAGCAGAAATAAAAAAAATCTGTTTTGGTGTATTCTTTTGTTCTCTAGGTGCATACTCTTGAGAGCAAGACATTTCACCTCACCTGTGGTCAGTTTTCCCATCTCAAAATTGAAGGGATCAGAGCAGATGACCCTCAAGACACCTCATTCTGGGCTTTTCTTTTTTTCTGAGTCCTATACTTGCCCCTATCACATTGCTGCAGCATTCACACAGAAAAGGGGAACAAAAGAGCAACTGCTTGAAACCCGATCACACGATACGAGGTTAGAAGGAAACAAACTTGACATGTACATTTAATCAGCTTTGGATTATCAATGTAGATGTTATAGCTTTGCAGCCAGTCTCCAGAAACTGAATTACATTCACCAACCGGGTCCCATCAGCAGTCTTGTTCATTTATCCCAAATCTCCCACACAAAGCAGAATGGCCAATTTGTCACACAAAATCTTTTATGGATTTTTTAGTCTAGGATCATCAGAACCATTAACTTCCTCCTTTACTATACAGATAACTGCAAATTCCAGATTTTCCTAAGATTTGTTCATTTGCTTAGAAGAATGCAGAGAAATATATAATAGCAGATACATTTTTATTTCATGCTCCTTTGTACAAATCCATTAGACTCTCTTACATACTTGCTTCTTGCAACGCAAGCACAGAATGCAATTCTATTGATGGGACCCTGGATTAGTTAGGGTCCAATCAGGAGAGAGAAACTACACAGTAATTTGAACAGAGAAAGTTTAATATAAGGAATTATTAACTATAACAGGGGATTAGCTAGTAGGAAGTAAATAGAACCCTAAAGAATATAGGAATGGCAGATAAAAGGAGCAGCCACTACCCCCAGAGCTGAGACACAGGGCCCAAGGGAGAGCCTTCCTCTCTAAAGCTGAAATCCAGGTCCTATGGGCTCACTGCACAGCAGGGAATTCGCTGTGGTGCTACAGCTGTGGAGTTTACTGTAACCCATCCTCTAGGGTGCCAGAGAAAGCTGTTCACAGAGAGGTGGCTCACCAGAGGCACTCTGCTCCAAAACTGCCCAAGTCGGGATGTCAGGGGAAGCTGCTGGCTGCTACACGCAGTTCTGGTCACCAGGCACTACAGAAGCCTGGCACTGGAGAAGCGCCCACGCTATAGGAGCCAAGTGCTGGAGAAACCACGAATGCTGCAGAAGCCAGGCGAGCAGACACACCAGCTCCAGGAAGAAAAACTCCTTCCTCCTGCAATGTCTCTCCAGCACCCTCTCCTGACAAAGCTTAACATCATGCCAGCTGGCAAAGGAAAACATTCAGAGTCCAGATCCATTTTCATAGAGCAGGCAACAGAGGGTGAATTTGGACCTGAGAGGCAATAAATTAATAACCCACACAGACTCTAGAGCAAGCAATTGCAGTAAGTTCTAATATCCCAACACCCTGCATGCATGCCATAGATATTAACTTGATCATGTGAGTACTACCCTGGTTACAGATGACAAAACTGATTTAGAGGGAAGAAAATTCTCTTGTCAAAAGGCAAACAAGTCTGAAAGCAGCACGAATAACAGAACTACTTCTGAGTCAGGAACAGGGTTCTTGTTTCCTAGGATATATCTAAACTGTCTTCTTTTTACTATATTCTGAGTTTGTACCAAATTCCTCTTTAGATGGTCCTTAGCCTGGCGCAGACATTAATAATACCAGTCTTTTGACAAATGATGACAGACTTTGAATATCAAATCGCTCACTGAGCCATAAATAATGTTGCTCATATTTTGACCTTTGCTTAGCCGTTTACATGAATGTGGTAACTGTTTTGTGATAGGATAATTTCAGGCCTGTGTATGTGTCAGTCCCAGCCTTTTGTCCAAGCTCTGGTCATTCTGCTAACCAAAATGTAGGCTAGAAGGCATATTTTGAAAACCAGAAAAGAAATCATTCTCAACTACTCATTGGCTCAGGAGAGCAAGACTAATGATCAGGTAGTGTCAGAGGGGAGTCCAACAACAGGAAAGATCCAAAATAAAGGAAGCAAGCAAACATTTGTCAATAACTCACTTTGGGGCAGAGCACAAAATGCAGGCTCTTTAGAGAACATCAGATCTGGGGGAAAACCCCGAGGCTGAAAGAAAGAAAATAATCACAATCCATATCTCCAGAAGAGAGGGGAAAAAAGCATAAAAGACTAAGGCTCAAAACCCAACTATACGTCGCATACAAGCAACAAACCTTAAGTAGACGGACACAGAAAAGCTGACTGAAAAAAATGATGAAAATAAATATACCTTGTCAACACCAATCTACAGGACTCAATAAGTCTGGGCTGAATAATGAACTTCAGTTGGGGCACAAAGAGACTTTGGGAAAGAAATAAAACAGAAAATGAAAGAATCATAGGGAAAAGCAAATGAGTGTTTTGTGTTTGTGTGTGGGTGGCTGGGGGGTGAATTCAAAATCTGGGAAATAACTTAGTCACCATTCCACAGCGCAGTCCAAGGGAGAACAGAGGGTGAGACGCACAGCACTCCCTCTGTTATTCTCTATCTCACAGTCAGCTGCTTTGTCTTCCCAGCGCCTAATTTTTCAGTTTATTTCTATGGGACTTGGTTAGGTTTGGTCTTTTTTCTCCACAGGAAGGTAAGCTCGGTGAAGGCAGGGATGTGTCTCTTCTTTTGACTTTATCTGCCCAGTATCTATGACAGAACAAATACTCAAGAAATATTTGTTGGTTGAATTAACAAAATCCAAGAACGGAACTTTTTATTTGATTAAATATCTAACGTCAAGTGTTACACAGTAAGCACATTCTAAACCAAGGGTTAGCAAACTTTTTAGATAAAGAGCCAGTAAATATTTTAGGTTTGGTGGGCTACATATGGTCTCTGTTGCACGGTTCTTGTTTGGTTGTTTTTTTTTTTAACATTAAATGGTTGAAAACAACTATTAACTGTAAAAACCATTCCCAGTTCTACGGCTACACGTGAACAGGTGGCAGGCTAGGCGCAGATTATGGTTTGCTAGTGCCTATTGTACACTATCATACATAAACTCAGCATATAAGAGCAAAATATTTTTAAATATATATATACACATATATATGCAGTATCAAGAAAATTTTACTTCTACTTTTGCTCTGATGGATAAATTTTTTTTCCTATTCTAAATGGAGAATTTAGGATCTAATATTAGCTTTGATGGCTATCTACTTAGGTTCTGTTTTAATTTTTTCAATCCAAGTCTCATTTGATCCTATCGAAGGAAAAAAATAAATTCAAGGGCCTGACACAATAAAATGCAAAGTGAGCAAGTTTCAAGACAGCCGCAGAGAAGCCGCCTTGAATCCAAGCTTATGGTTTCTGCTATCTTTCATTGTTTCCCATACATCCTACCAATTAGATCGTAAGTTTCTGCACCCTCATTAGTTTTTCAAGCTTTATGACTCAGGCTTAGGGGGTGGGGGATAGGGCAGCGACCCACAAAACAAAGACTTCAATGTCTCCAGAAGCTGAGAAAATTCCAGCATTGTCAGGGCAGATACTATTTATAACTTGTTTAATGTGTATGCTCCTGAATGCATTTTCTACGGAGAATATACGACACACACTTCTGAATTCCTGGCTTTAGCAACGGTCAAGAAGGCAAGCAGCTAAAAGTCTGACGATTGAAGGAAAAAAAATGAACTCCTTGCTATTATTATTTTATAACATTCGGCATCATGTGACAGAATTAAAAGGTTCCTGTTTTTGACTCACGTTTGACAAGAAAGTGCCTCACTGCTATGAGTTTTGAGCTTAAGTTACTGGAAAAATGCGGGGTTGGAAAATATCCTACAATTAGGCTGAAAGAAAAAAAAAAGTTGTGGAAAACCCCATTTAACTTTTTTCCAGAAAAACACACACACATACACACAAGAATAAATGCCAAGCAATTTTACTGAATGTGTGTATATGTGGTCTATAATTACACACGTACTCTCTTTCTATGTTTACGCTTTTCTCTTATCACAAGAGTTCTTCACAAAGGTATCTTGACAAGCTATACCCCCAGTGCAGGGTGTTGGGTGCCCAGCATCGCAGCAAAACTTCTGCAATGATTGATTACAAAGGACTCTGCAAGCCCTGCACATTACGTCCATTCCATTCATGGATCCCAACCAAATTAATTTTCTCCTGTGCCAATTCTATCACATCCCCTGGGTTTACAAAGAAGTTTTACCAGGCCATCAGAACCCAAAAAGGAATGAACATTTTCGTCCTGGCAGAAACTTAAAATAGAGCTTAAAAATAAAACAATGAGAATGAATTTTTAGCTCTGCAAAGCTCTTAGTTTCTAGAAATTTCTTTTACAACTGAAAAGAAGAATCCTACTCTTGCTTTTATTGCTACATTTAAACTGCAAGTTGTTAAGAAACTAACTTAGAAATTCCAATATTTTAATTCCATATCTGATCAGACATATTTCAAAATAAACAGTCAAGTCAAAGTGTAAGGTGGACAAAGTTGTACATTCCTGGTAGTTTATCCCTAAAACAAAAGTGTCCAATAAAAATATAAGCAAACCACATATGTAAATTTAAATTTTCTTGTAGTCATAGTAAAAAGAAAATCAGAATGAAGCAGGTGACATTAATTTTATCTTATCTAACCCAGCCTGCCCAAAATATTATTTCAATATTAATCAATATTAAAAATTATTAACAATATGTTTTACATTCTTTTTCTCATACTAAATCTATGAAATCAGGTGTGCATTTTACACTTAAAATACATCTCAGTTTGAACAGTCACATTTCAAGTGTTCCACAGGCACATGTGGTAGTGCTACCATAGTGGACAACACAGCTCTAAAGACTTCTCTTACTCTTCTTTGAGGTCTCTCTTCCAACCCAGAAAGTTCTAGTGGCAATGACACGGCTATCAGCAGGAGAAGAAGATATTCTGAGAAGTGTTTCAACTTCGACAAGTTCACACTCGGTTTCACTCTCTGGCACATCCACACTTCGGGCCATCTGTTATAATGGAACAATGCCCGTCCGAAAGAAGTTACCAGCTTCTAGAACCAGACATGCAATCTCAGCAAGAAGATTCTCCTAGCTTAAGCAGTTCCCAATTCTGAACTTCATTTTTCCCAGGTGCAACACCTGGACATTTAGCAGGGCTTAAATTAGTACCATTTTTGAGATACTGTCTTTCAAAGAGGGGAAAAGAGCAAGGATGAACCTTTTTTAGGATGGGCCTTTGAGGAAGAAGGTTACAGGAAACACAGCTAACATTGAGGGAGACACTGAGCCCTTTATATGGCATTTAAAAAAAAACAAATCGTGACTTAAAAAGTCTCTTTAGTGAGAACTTTCATTCCCATCCTACCCTCAATACAATAACCGTAGTGCTTTTCTTAAAACATTCTAGTATTCTGATGTACACATGTATATACTTTTTTCTTCCTGAAGGTGAATCTTATTGAAATTTTAACCTATTAATCAGATAGGACTGAAGAACGGTAGGGCTGGGCAACTGCTGCTTTTCATGTTAACACTTCAGTCCTCTTTGATTTTTTTCCATACGCAAGTGCCACTTATAAGAAAATTTTTAATTAATTTATTTAAAGAAGAAAATTAACCTATTAATGGCCATGGACTCTAATGTTGCTCCTCTTAGGAGTAAACACTACTTCTCTGACTTTAAAATATATCTTTGATCCCAAGTCCTCTATGTTACGAAAATATTCATAAATGTTTTATTTAAATCCAGTATTTTCCATTAAAAGGTTTAAATAGCTAGTGAGAATATGTAAGTCAAA